TTATTCTGTAAGTAATTTAGTAGGTTATGATAAAAAAATTACCCTGTATATTAATTATAATATATTAACTCTATATATTAAATTAGTTTATATATATGACTAAGAAATCAACTTTCTTCATTTCATTTTTACTCAAAAATTCCTCTAGTTCTACCCTAAATTGAATAATACTTAAACTACCAAATACATAGAGATAATTTTCTTACTGTTGCAATAAAACAAATTTTATTTCTAATTCGCGCTTAAATAAAAATTTGACGCACAGGAACATCATTTGGGGGTAACAACCTAGAAATTTGTCCCAGTGTAATTTTAGTGAAGATTGAAATCGATCAAACTCTTGCCATATTTTAAGCAAACCCATTTCTCGTAAAAGCTAATTTATAGTAATCTATGAAATGAAGCAAAAATATATTTTATTCAATAAAAAAAAAAAATTTTAATTTCATATTTTATTATTTATTATTTATAATATAAAGGAATTCCCAGTTTAATAGTCTCTCTCTATCTGTCATTATGATTACCTATGTACTAACATTATATCCTAAAATTGTTTATGTGTAATTCATAAACTACGTTTAAAATGAAAATTTTGTTATTTCATGTCTTTGGTTCTGCTTTTAACAACAATAGTGAATAGAGTTTTCACTGAATATTCTTATACAATTAATGCATTATTTGTATAATTTTCTTTATAATTCTAAAAGTTCTATCATAGAAAATTCTTTATTTATTATTGTCCAAATTTATTTTGAAATGTTCTGTCATAGCAATATTTATATTATGCATAGTAAATGCAAGTCGTTAGAAAATTAACCATGAGCGGTTCTGCAAAATGATAGAACGAAATGTAAATTAATATTTGCTCCACTTTGATAAAATCTGAAATGACGCCTTTACTTACAACGTAAAACATTATTACATATTTCTTGTGAAAAGGTATAAGTGCGATTTAAAACAAAAATGTATGTTCATTTAAATTATTTTCAAAAAATTTGTTATAGGTTGATATATTTAAAAACAATTTTATAAACATTACTATATTTTTTAAAACCGAGAAGATCAAACGTCAACTTGCTCCGTTTTCTTCTACACTTAGAAAACAAATAACTTAAAAACTTTATCATCTACAATTCCTTTAATTTTTAAAATTATTTCAAAAATTGTTGTTGTTTTATGATAATCAGCTTTTGGTGGCATATAATCTGATATTATGTATCAACATTGTTACGATATTATCATTTTTAAGAAACTTAAATAACTAAACTTTCAGAATATTGTTAAAACAATTTAACTAATCTATCACGAGTATGTGATACAATGAAATATTTACGGTTCATTTCAAGTAAATTATTTAATTAAGTTGAAATAAGAACAATTTTATACTTTGAAGTAATAGAATAAATCCATTGAAAAATTTTAATTAAATGCCTTTCTATTATGAATCAAAATCAAAATTGTGTATTTATGGGTATACAAATACATAAAATATACAGAATCTGTCAATGTTGATTATTCATATATATTTTATCACTTGATAAGGTTCGTTTACGAAATCAACTCTATTTTAACAACAACAAATATCTTTTATAGAAGAGCACAATAGTAATTTTAAATAAAAACGTATTTTTATATGATGTCTGTTTATATTAAACTACAAAATAGTAACCTTATTATTCTTATTTAATAATTATATTGGTTCCAGTATTTTATTCATACTGCACTCCATAAACTTATTATAATATTTAAATAATTGAGTTGTACTTTTTTTAAGGTTAAATATTTTCTCGTAAATTTTTAACAATGTGTTTAGCTAACAATTTTAGCTGTTGAAGCTTAAAAAAGTAGGAAATTGTATAAGAATTACAATAGTATTTTTACGAAAGGATATAAATCGAACAAGTCAATTAATAACTAATATGCTAAAATTAAATATTTAGATGAGTATTTAAATATTTAATATAACATAATCCTTGATGCAAAATTTATTAATTTCTAAATGATTTTTATGTTTATACGTAGAAAACTTTATGATTTAGATTTTTTTAAAAATATCATTTGGTTAAATAATAATGAGTTAGGATTTAATATAGTTATTTCGGAATAAAATTGTTTGTATTAATTTTATATGTGCGAAAAAAAACGAAATAAATAAACAGGACATCAGAAAAAACTGTTTTTGAGTCAAGAGAGAGACGTTTAGAGGGTGTGAGAGTACTTTGTTTTCAAAACAAACTGTTGCTTTTATACCTGAAAATCCGCCAGAAACAGCAAGCACTAACTATGTATATAACTAAAATCTAGATAGCATAACATGCATATTTTTTATTTTTAAGCGTTGCCACTCAAAAATGTTAAAACCATTTTAAAGTTTATCAAACGCTGCACTTAAGTATGTTGAGGTGCTTTGGTTGTTATTGTAATGTATATAATTCTCGTATGAAGATAAAATAGCTTCAATGTTTTAAATCCATAAAAAAAATCTGGTTCCCATTTTGTACTGGTAGCTTTTTGAAGCTTTTGTACTGGTTAAAAAGCTATTTGTTAAACGTGAATTTCTGTGTATAAGTTGTAGGCTTAAGTGATTTATCTTTTATCCTTAACTCTTTAAACTTTGAAAATTATGGTAGGTAAAAGTAGTTATTTTCCTTGTGCTTACGATAGAAAACGGAACCGTACGCTAACCCAAAATATGTGATTTAATTTTGACGTCTGCGTGTCATGCTTAATTTTGCTAGTTTTCCGGCGAAAGGATTTCCTTTGATAATTATCTTAATTAATCAGTAGCAGTACCATTTTAGATATTCTTGACCGTCACTAAAATATAATTAGGGCACAGATAATAGATCACTGAATATTATAATTGGCTACTTGAAATTTCAGTTACTTAATGTTATTTGGTTGTGTAGTATTTAAATATTTTATCAAGGGAGAATTTGAATTGATGTGCCATTAATATTATCATAAGCATACTTGAGGATATATTACTTATTATACTTTCTTAAAAAAATATAAGTAAGACTTAGAATCTTCTAGCGTTTCAGGTTGGTTATTTTCATATAATAGACCTTTCATGAAATAATTTTCAGTTATTCATTTACACAATGTATTTTATCGCCATAAAAGAGTAAGGTGTATACGCTGTTATGTTAGTTGCATAGAAAGACCTTATCTATTTACCAAAGCCACTTAATTTAACTCAACGTTGATAAAAATTCATAGTTGACGAAACTGAAAGTTTTTCAATAATGAGAACACATTAAAAACTTAAAATAGGGATAGAATTACAATCTTCAAATCGAGTCAGTTCTGAAAGAAATATTTTTTTTTGTAAAAATTTTCATAACATTCAAAATGCTTGTAAGCAATTCATATATAAATCAAAGTCTAATCCAATGTGTAATGAATGAAAATTTAAAACTCAAACAGCTTTTTTTACAATCTATCTTTCGTCAAAGTAGTTAAACAAAGTATTGTATGTGATGAAATATTAGACTAAAATTAACTTAAAAATTGTTATGATTTCTGAATTGGCATCATTAGTTAAAAAATCCTTAACCCACTACTCGATTGTCACCGTTGATGATTTATAATGTGTTTGTTTTGTTCTACATAATACATCGTACAAGTAGTAACGAGTAAATTTCAACTGGACCTTTGCCAGACTGGTAGTTGGATAACTATCGGCTCTTTGATATAAGTATCGCTGAGTGACTGGACTACATACAACTATATGATTTAAGGATTAATACATGTGTATCGAAATCTCCATTTTTTTTACTGTCCCTAGTGAATAAAACTTTTAAAATAAATAGAAATAATAAAGATAAATAAGAAAAACCACAAAAAAAAAAGTTTTGTTTTCATAATATTGATCATCAAATATGTGCTTTTAAAACATAATTAATAGGTAGCAAAGTGTTTTTTTTATTACAATTTATAAAAGTTTGCATATTTTAAACTATGGATATCTAAGTCAATTTTTTTTAACAACAAGCAAAATCAAATACTTTTGCTACAGTCTCCTGAGAATAATTTAAATCAGAAACTTATTTGGCTATTTTTTCAGTAAAAAATGGAATGATATTATACCATTACGATTTTCGTGGCTGAATTTCGATTTAAGCTTTCTTATAAAATATAAATCACGAAGAACACTAGAATATTATAATTACTATTACAAATAAATTGTTTAATTTATTCTACAGCGTGATCGGTTTATCGTAAACCACTCGAAATGTGATACCACTATACGTAATAATGGATGATCCTATAAAGCTAATTATTAGTTAATAAATCAAGAAATATGTGTAACAAAATAAACTAGTTTTTTTTTCAAAATTGTATTTATTTTAAGAGTATTCGAGTGGTTTATGATATACCGACCACATTGTATAGTTGTATAAAATTGTATTTTTTCGATAAATTGAAAATTTGTCTACAATTTATACTAAAATATTTTCTTCAAAAATGATTATAATAATAATAATAATTTAATAATTTAATAATAATAATATAATAATTTTTTTACAATACAATATATTTTATTGTACAGTGTGATTTTTTAAGAATGATACCATTCATTTCTTCATTAAATAATTATTTTTTTTATAAGAATATACAAATTGAAATTTGATTTATTTTATAGACCATATATTATTATATTTATTTATTTTTACAGGCAAAACTAAATATCAAGATTGTTGTAACAAAACATGATTTCTTAGGATATATTTTAGGGGTATTTAATTTTTCGAAAATTAAATGAGAACTTATTATTTTATATACGGTTATAAAATTATAGCCATTTTCATGGTTAGTTCATAGAAAAGGTTTTATAGTTTTATTTTAACTACAATACTGCAAAATAATAAGTTTGAATTAATACTTTCAGAATTTTCGTTTGAGTATAAAACATTCACAGTAGCAACTTTATATTTGGAAACGTCTACAGAAAAATAATTAAAAGTTTATCCTACAAAATGCGTTTTACTTGCTAGGTTTGCTTTTCGCGGAAACTACACTCAAGCACGTTTGTACACTACATGAACTAAGGTGTATTAAAAGGCTTACTACACGTCGTACCGGAACTAAGCATTTGTGCTTACAACTACCAACGTGAAATTAGAAATCTAAGAGCAAAACTATGTGGCTTATTCAAGTAAAGGTATCGAACATTTTTCAGTTTTTAATGCTTTAATTTTCCAATTAAGATTCTAATATAATAAAATTTTTATGACTAAAAACGATAAAATAGTGAATAAGTTCAGCTGATACCAAATCAAAGAAACTATTAGCTTTAAATTTTAATAATAACGTTATGTACAGAATAGACTGATTAGCTTGACGTTTGTGGTGGTCAACCTCCATAAAAGTTAAAAGACCTCTAAAGCATTTTCAACAACACAGATTAAAGTTAAGATAATCTTGACAAAGCACTTCCATTAGCCTCTAATATTCTCTTTTGTAAGTAATTTTTACTTTTTACATGATTGAACAATTTTGTATTGTACACGTACTCGAGTCCATGAAAATACTTTACAATTATAATGAAATACTTAGCATGAAAAATATAACTACTTAAATGACGTGACGTTTTTTTCTTCTTTTAAATATTAAACAATGATGTCGATAGAATAAAAATTTTAAAAAGATAATTTTACAAAGTTATACTTTTAATTTTACTATGATGTGTTTTTATATTTTTAACTTTATAAATCTATAACTTTTTGAAAAATGTATGGTTCATTGTAATTTTTTTAAGACAAGTACTATTTATATATTTCTTTTATGCGACATATATATTTTTTTAATTGGACCATTTCCCTTAATACAGGAGGGGTTTAAAATTTAAAAATGCATATAGAAAGTAGAACTTTTTTAACTTAATTTTTGAAAATGTTCCGAAAAACCTCACACTTTTATATATATCTTAAATTATAGTTTATGTAATATACTTAATTATGGAAAAAAAAATAATTCGGACTTTATATTGTTTTTATGGTGAAAACGGTCATCAGAGTTAATAAAAAATACAATTTTCGTAAAAAAATTAGTTTTTATATTTTTATTTCATATAAATTTATAGCTTACCAAATTTACATACGGAAAATTATAAACTCGTTACAAAAATATTTCATAGTATTACGTCGAAATTAAAAAAAAATAAAAATAACTTTAATTTTAATTTTAAATAAAAAAATATAAATGGTGCTAAATAGAAATAAAAATTGTCTACAAATCAAAATATTTGATCGTTATAAAATGACAGAGTTTAGCTGGCTACTTTTGTTGACCATTTTCATAAATAATATAAAAAATGAAAATGATGAATGCGGTAGGGTTAACAAAAGGGTTGATAGCCGTTCATTGTTGTAAAAATTTAACATGAAACTTTCTAAGTAAAAGCATATAGAACCATATTTATTGATTTATGTTTACTATATTTTTTAAATATTACAAATCCAAAACAATAACCACGTTTGGTTTGATTAAAAAATATTTAATATCTAAATATTATGTTCTTATGTTTCAGTTTTATATCTGAAAAAATTTGTTTATTTAATTTAAAAGTTCTTATTAATTATTAATTCACGTGTATGTTCAAATATTTAACTATGACTCAGTATAAAAACTTTTTCTCGAGTAATATAGAAAGCTTTAGAAAACAATTCAATGTGTTGTTGATTGATTCTAGGATTGCTTTGGGCTTGGCTCGAGGCTTGAAAAGTTACTCGGATATGTATTTACCTAATTTCAATTACTTTGAAAACTTAAAATAGCTAATAAATAAGAATGAGAATACCGTTGTTTCTTAAATCAACTTTTCGTTTTTTAATCTTAATAATTAAACTTACAATATTTAGTCCGTGAAATTTTTGAAACAAGATTTGTGTAATAACATTATCACGCAGTTATTAAATACATAAGATATTTTTTTAAACAAAATTTAAAAGAAAATACTGAAAATTTATTATAATAAAATTCAAGATTCTTTATTTTATCTACAATCTTATGTTAAAATAATTATTTTAAAGTTATTTAATTAATTTCTTTTTACAAAAAAAAAAAAAAATTGACTAATATAAAATTTAACTTGATTCTATTTTATTTTAGTTAACTACGTCAAGCCGTCTAAAATAAAACAATAATTATTCTTAACACTCTTTTTAATCATAATTATTCATCAATGTGTTTCTTCAGTTTTTTAATATGATCATTTCAAACAAGATAAACAATTTTATTCTTTAGTTTTGCTAAACTAATACACTATCTAACTTGTTGAAACTGACAGGACAAAAGCAAAAACTTTTAAAACATAAACACTCTTTCTATGAAGATACATTTTATTTCATAAAGTATGTTTGTTTATACTTTATCAAGAATAAATTATCACCCAACTGTAGTTTTTCCCTCGGTCATTTGTTCAAAGATAAATTGTGTTTTCCAAGTTATTATGAAGTATTATTTGCTTTAAATAATATACAGTATGTCCCACAAAGTTTTCACATCTCTTATAACTTTTGATCTAATTATAATTTCGTTAAAATTATTATTTTTTTAATATTATTGAATTATTAGATTACATCCAAAGTATTTTGGATGTATATATTTTTAAATATATTTTGTATTATTTACCACTAAAAAAAAAAAATAAATAAATCGTTTTTAATTCAAAATAGCCATTATACCTACAAAGTATTTTGATGTGTCGATTATATTTTAGGTAGATGTTAATATTTGTTAATGTTTGTAACTTATCAAGTTACAAACATTTTAACACATAGAGGGTATGGAACGCAAGTGGAGTACACCAGTACTAGCTGCCTTTGTTTGTGCATATATCTGTTCTAAGAACTAAAATGCTTGTAAAAAATGAGTACTTAACCTAAAGTTGTTATCAGTCTATCAAAATTTATCAAGGTTAAGACTAAAAAATAGCTTTTTCAAAATTATGAAATTGCAAAACTATAATTTAGAAACCAAATTCTATTTTAGTCAAATATGCAAAAAAATCGTTTATTTGCCCAATTTTTACAGAGTGATTGATTTTATCATTGACCACTATATTTCTATTTAGATAATAAAAATGTTAAAACGAATTTTTTTATTTGTTGAATAGTATTTATTTTTTGATATCAACGTTTGATAACAATATTTTAATCAGTATCTCAGAAATCATGAACATTTTTATATCTGAGTGTGATGAGGAATGAGACAACTGTTGGAGGATGATAATAATAACATAACCAATACTTCACTCTCAATCTAAAAAAAATTTTAAATTTTAATATATCAAAAAGTAATTATACAAAATAAGTTATCGACCAGTCAAACTTTTATATAGACTATACTCAATTTAAAAGTAAAAATATAATAAAGTTTTAAATTTAACTCATTACCTATATAAAGGGAGTGAGAGTATAATAAATCACACCGTATGTTTAAGTATTGATAACATTCAAAATATTGATTCAAAAAATTATTATCAACCAGTCATTTTCATATTTGGATAATTTTTTGCTTATTGTATAAGTAAGTTAAATAAATACGTTTAGTAAGGATAGACCTAAAACATATTTAATTACTCATAATCAGAAAATGATTAATTTTTTAGGAGAAATTTAGTGGATAACAATAAATCAATCACTTTTTGATTGATGCTTATTGAAATAAATGAAATACACTTTCATTTATGTATTAGTTATTAAAATTTCATAAATTATAAAGCAGTGTCTAGATTCATTCATGAAGAATAAATACAATAAAATTTAGTAATAAATAAAATAAAAAAAGTTAAATTTGTAACTTAATGTATGACGCTTGATAATAATGAAGTCAAATAGGTTAGGCGAGGTTGTTTAATATACTATAGAATATTTCATTATAATTTCAAACTAATATTTACTGTTTTTAATAGGCTAATTAAACTTTGCATTAATTGGAACGATTTACAACCACTGGTTAAGCTTTATATAAATAACACTATCATATTATTGTTATTATGATATATGAATTTTATATGGTAATAACATTTCTAATGACAAGGTTAAAAGCTAAAATGATTCCATTAACTAAATCCCAAACTTGCATAACGGTTTTAAATATAATTTAAAATATTTCACATACATTGTAGTTAAATTAACACGAAATTTGTTTGGAATAAATTGCATAACACGATCCAATCTTAAAAGAGGTATTGAATAGAATCAAAATAACAACTAATAAAATATTTTAAATTATATTTAATTTGTTTTTTGCTTAGATTTAGTTATTAAAGAAGACTCATCATATTGTTCAAAAATTACATAACGTGAATATTTGAACTGCAAATGTTGATTTACTCAAATAATATCAAATTATACATATTGAAATCAAGTATATTACACTTTAGAAATCATGTAAAAAAATTTGCACAAGTATTTTCGTCTACAAATTTCCTATTTACAAAATATATGAGCTGTATCTATAAATTTGCTTTGACGCAAAGAGAAAGTTAGTACTTTATACTTAAGAAAAACAGGCGATCCTTTTTACTAAGATTAAAAAACTTTTACTTTTAAAAATTAGATGTTTACTTTTATCTAAGTTTTTTATAGACCAACTTCTTGTACGCGAGATAATGTGAATGAATGATTAGTAATATGAGATAAAAAATCAGTTCAACTTTATTAAATGATATTATAAATATTATTAGAGAAAAGATTATATATTTATTAGACTACAACTAGTTATAGTAAAAATTATTTTTGTTATTTTTTAAAAATTTTAACAAAACACATATATAATTACATATTAATTAAGTTTTTATTTATTTTCGTTAGTCTAATATTTTATTTTTCAATAGATTTGTCAGATTTGTCTTAACAAACATTTTAATGAATTTGATGCGAATCTTAAACAAACAAAGCTAATTATACGGTTCGTCGTAAATTTAAGTTATTCAGCAAATAAGTTAACGCCGTAAACATTTTTATTGTTTTTCTCTCCATCGATCTTTCAGTACTACTAATAAAATATAACGTTCTATTAAATACTTTTGAAGATTAGCAGTCAACGGGTTTTGTTACTGTCAATAAACTTTAATTACTTAAATGTCATTAATTGTTCAATAAAAGATGAATTATCGGCTTGAAATTGAAACAAGTAAAATATAATAAAACTTAT